TGTTTTCTGTCCTTCTTGGGGGCGGGGGGCAAAAGGGGCACTGATTTCCTCTTTATTTCCACTTCCATCCTGATCCCTTTAACATCTCCTCCCCCATCAAAGAGTTAAAACAAAGTTTCCATGCAAGTGGTTTAAAAAAAACACATCATTTGCAAGCTTCTGGCAGATCCCTCGCTTGGCTGATGCGTTTCCTTTCCAGAAGAAGATCATGCCCTTCGCAACAATTTCACGGCAATTAATCCTGTGCTTAAATGATAACCCTATAATTAGAAGCAATTAAAATCCTGTGCCAGAATGACCTGCTCAGTCAGTGTCGATGTCCCTGTATGCTAATGGGGTGTAATCTTGAAGGAGGCCCCAGAAATGATGTGTTTCATCTCTTCCCGGGGATGCGGGCATTCGAAGCCCAACGTAAGGCGCTTCCTCATGGCAGGAGCCACTGAAGTCAGCGTGGACGGAAGGCTGGGGGCCCTGGAAAGGACCCAGGGCATTCTGGCCGGGTGGCTCGGTTGGGCAGAGCGTCGTCTCCGTAGGTCAAGGTCGCCGGTTCGATTCCCGTCAGAGCTCATACGAGAGGCAACCAGTGAATGCAGAAATAAGTGGAACAACAAACGGAGGTTTCTCTCTCTCTCTCTAAGATCAATAAGTAAAATTGAAAAAAGAATCCAGGGGCTTGAGATCATCCTGAGCAGGAGAAAGAAAAGCCCGTCACGTTGAGCTTGGGCACCTGGGTGATGCGAGACAAAGGCAGACGCAGCATTAAGGAAACGCCGCTGCTGACTCCTGCCCCTCGCCCACGCCTTGCCGCCTCGGGCGGACGCCCAGAGACTAAGCGCCAGGGCAGAAGTCTGTGCTGGGGTCCCGGCACCGGGAACCGCGCAGGAATAACAGCCCGCGGGCGGCACGCGGCTGGTTAGTACACATTTGACGTTTAGCTCTGCAAGGATAGGTCACGACGAGGCTCCGCCGTCAGGGTGGGCAGCGAAGTGTCTCTAGAAGATGCAACCTCTCTGTCGGCCGAGTTTCTCCAAAGGGCCCCGAAGTCACATGGCTTCTAATTAGGCTAAAATGGCCTCTGAGAGTTACGGTCCAGGCACAGGGCTCAAACAGGAAGGTTGCTTGGACTGGGGAGAGAGGAGCACAGGATAAGGCTGAGTGGCTTTTTCATGCTGTGCCTACTGGATCCTTCCATCATCACCTGCTCAACAAACATGTATTAGGCACAGATTCGAGGCACTGGACAGGGTACAGGAGATGGATGCCACCTCTGACCTCCAAGGGCTAACGGTCTGGTGGCGGGAAATCAAATATAAATGAACACACACGTGAAATCGCATCGCAAATGTTATAAAGAGCAGGGGGAGGACGTCCATTTCGGGCAAGGCCGGAAACGTCAGGAGAGGCCTCCTAAAGGTAACGGGAACAGGATGTTAAAAAGCGATTCCCGAGGGGGCAGGAGGAGCAGCACCGGTGCAGGCGAGGCGGCGGGAAGCGGCCTGCCCCCCGGGAAACAGCGCTTGGCTTTTCT